AATTTATCTTCACAAGGAACGTTCCTTAGTTAATTTTTTTCCTAATTGTTCCCTAAAAAGTCGGTTAATCAACTCAATATTATCAGAAGGTCCAAGTGTGCAATAGAACCCCTTCTCAAGTTCATCAACATCCCACAATGGCATATACATAAGAATACCTTCTTTTTCCAATTCTTTATAGTACTCTCGAGCAGGAGAGCAAACAAGTATTGTAACAATATTCCAAAACACACGCATATGTTCTAGCACTTTTCCATCTACAATGTACCAAATCAAGGACCTGTCTTTCATTTCCAAGGCAACATCTGATACTGTTCCATTATAGCTGTAATATTTATCACCATCTAGTACATAACATTTGGTTGTTGATATATAACTGGGATGCCATCTTGCTTGGTATAGTAAATAGACTGCAAAAAACGATTTTCCTATTCCAGGAGTGCCATTGATAATAATCCCTGCACCTTTCACAGCACCTCTGATTTAAAATAAGTCACAATAAGATTTACGAATATACATTTTTTGGAGATTCCCAATATATATGCGTCATTATTAAGTGATAGAATGCTTTCTTTTTCTGATGCATTAACAAGGTTGAGCCAGAAAGTATAAAATGTTGGTGGCAGCGGTTTTTTACTATAACAAGATGCAAGTCCTATATTGTTAAAATAAATAAATAAATGAAATGAAATGAATGGAAAATAATTTTTTGTATATTCTTTTACGCAATTTGTTCATTAACTTCTCCTTTGCAATTTCTACTAGTGCCTCTTGTAACATCTGTTTCCACTTATCCTTCTTATCCTCCTTCAACTCCTCCTTTTCGTTTTCTAAGTCGTCTCTCTCCTTTTCCAAATCTTTCTTCTCCCACTCCAACTTTTCCTTTTCTTTCTTCAACTTTTCACGTCTTATTTTTGTATTTAACTTCCTCAACAAACTCTTCACTTCGTCTAGCCTCTTCAACTTTTCATCCGCACTCTCACTTGTTCTAATTCGTTTTTAATTTCGCTATATGTTGCCATTTTGTAAAATTGAAAAAAAAAATTTTGCTGCAAGTCACGAGACATTATTTCGTTATTGGTCAGAAAAAATGTCATGGTGGTTAACTTGACCGACCGGCTTTACTGACGAGTTTATAATAATTGCGTTTGCATTTAAAAATGCATTAAGAATAACCTTGTAACATAAATGTGAAGAACATAATGTAAAGTTGATTTCATGTCAGAAATTGTGTAAAGTTAAAATTGAGAAGGAATTTAACATGATCCCATTGAATTTAAAGAACAAAAAGTTTTAAATACTAAATTTTATAATAATAAAATTAGAAGCTAGATCTTATTTGGGTTGACTTAATATAACATCTCTATTCATTAGTAGGTTCTCGTGTTACCAGATTATAGAACTTCTAGATTATATTCTTCTAGTATAGTTTAAGGAATCGCATAAAGCATAATTTTTTATAAATCCTTATTATTGAACAGTGCGCAGCATATTAAAAAGAATATATAAAACCCGCACTTTTATTATACTTAAATGTTCCTCTAGAAACCTTTTGAAATAAAACGAACGTATAAAAACCTGTATTTATTGTAATGTAATTTTATCAACTTCTGGTTGTTCAACATTCTCACCCTTGGAACATCCATTAATTTCAGCTTTTTGAACATCCTCCAAGAATTTAACAGGATTAACGAATGAAAGTGGAGGAGAAGGTTCAGTAGGAAGTGGTGTAATGTCTTGAGTTGCTGGTAGTTGATGTTTAATTGATGGTCTTGCTCTTAATATAGTAGAATTTTCAATATCCTGTTCCTCAATCGCTGGTTCTTCTTCTGCGATTATCTCAACATTCAAATTACCAGATGACTCTACTTCCCCTTGCCTTGTCACTACTTCAATAGCGTGATTGGCTAATGCATTCACTTTTACAGTCAACTCTTCACGGTCTGGTAGTGGCCTTTTTCCAAATTTTCTAGTAGTGAAATCAATAGCAGGTTTTTGATAAGGAGAAAATTGTCGCTGGCGTTCCCTGTTTCTACCAATTAGTCGTACATTTGTAGACGTTGGTTTTCCCATTTTATTACGATTTGATTGTTTAGATGCAGTTGATATCGTTATAGATAAATTGGCGGTCGTTAATAACCCTTCTGCCATTGAAGTAGCCGTTGCTGTCACCTTCAAAGGTAAAAAAACTGAATTCGATACCGATCCTGTTTCTCTCGAAGTTTTATGACCTATGATAGGAACTGTCTTTGGTTTAATATTGTTGAATTTATGTGATGGCTTTTTTTTAGCAGGACTAGCAGCCGGTGCACTCGTTGTACGAATAATAGGTGGTCTTGATGGTTTAATGTTATTGGTCTTGCTTGTATTTAAAATACGACTAGCCTTAATTTTATCTTCGGTAGTCGTTATAGTATGCTCTTTAGGTCGAATGCGTTGAGCGCCTCCTTTACAATGCCACGCAATGTTTATATTTATAAGTATGCAAATTAAAAATATCCATGTTTTTGTAGGATAAAGAATTTAAATATATAAATAAGAAATTATGGTTGTGAGGGTTTACTGTCACACTCACCAGTACCAGTGCCTACGTCACGATTATTCGAAGATGTATTATTAATCACCTGAGCCCTAGTCGGCTTAGCTGGCACTCTTTGAGCAGTAGTGGTAATAATGGGCTGAGATTTTTGATGTTGAGCTGATGACAACTTTGGTCGCTTTAACGTGACAAACCCAGTAGATGTGGATAAAGCAACAACTTCATCTTGCGGTTCATCAAGTGGAATAGTGAATGAAGACGGTTCTTCGGTAATAAATGGCTTATCCACAGATGGATTAGAATTATCATTATTTAAAGGCAATTTTTTGTCTTTAATTATCTGCACCTTGTCTTCACTATTGTTATTTATTTGCACTTTATCTTCATTTTTAGTAAATATTACAACATCACTTTGGACGAGATTCGTTTTGCGGCTTTGCAAAGTTTTTATAAGTGGCAGAACGTTTCTTTTTGTTGGTTTATCTTTGATGCCTAAAACTTTTGAAAGGATAAGGTCTTTTTTTATAGTCGCGACAAAACTAAAAAAAAATATATATATGTATATATAATATATAAAATACAAAATTAAAATTATATAAAGTAATAATAACCAAATTAATTTCAATCTTTGTAACTCACCTATCTAACCTTAAATCAAATTTTGATTTATAAATTTCAAAAATCTGCTTTGAAATAGCTCTAACATCTGCTGACGAATCAGATGCACATTGTCGGATGGACCATTCGATATCAGCAATATAATTATTCAAATCTCCAACCTCATTCACTTCCAAACTTATTTGAATCCATTCAGCCGCACAATTCCTTAATGATTTACTTGGATTTTGCAGTGCTTCTTTAAATTTTAGGATAAGGTTTGGAAGTCGACAATCTCGAATTATCGTATTCATGCATTTTTGTGCTCGAACAAGAGTGGTTTTTTTCGTACGCATGCATAATTTAATAACCGATGGTATAAAAATTTCTGACAATGCATCAAATTTTAATCCAAGTGCTTTAGCCATTTCTTCTACCAATTCTGTTGCAGTTCCGGAAAGTTTCGTTCTTTCTGTTAATAACTATTATTTTAGGGTAAATTAAAATTTTTGAATCAATGATTTTGTTATTATTAATTATTATTATTATCCTTATTATTATTAATTTTTTTATTTACCGAATTTATTATTGGTTGTCTCAAAGTTTTTATTCCTGAAATGTAGTTTTTCTCATAAAGAGTAGCACTGCCTCGAGTTATAGCAATTAAACGAGCTAAAGCAGCATCGAACCCCGACCAAGTGTGTTCAGTTTCTTTTTCTTGAAACTTTTCAACCATTTGCTTTATCTCATAATCTAGTTGAGAAGCGCTTTCAACCTATAACACCATATATATATGGTTAATGAAATGCGAATATATAAAAAAAAATATATGTTTATTTTCACCTTTTGTGTTTTTACCTGTATTTCTTTTTCCATGATTTTGTTTAGAAAAAGGGTTAAAAATGTTAACTTTGCTCGAAAAAAAGCCTTTAAACGAAGTTTTCTTTGTTAGAGTCTGTTTATATTTGTATAAATAAAACGCGAACAAACTATTGGTTATAAAAAATGACGTGTGATCAAATAACCAATTTAGCATGCTTTTTTATTATTAATGCTGTTTAGAGAACGATTCAAATATAATCTAGATATAAATTCGAGATATTCAAATTGATTCTAAATTTTGAATTATATTTTCATTACACAACCTCTTGTTTGACGTTTACCACAGGTCTTTCATAAATTCGATTGGATGAAAATTGTTTCGTACATTTGCCAAGTAATACAAAAAAAAGGCCCCAAACAAGGGCTTAGCCGGCTAGTTATTTAAATTAGAAATTTGATATATTTAAAATATCATTATATCTTATCCTTTCTGATAATTAAAATCCATATTTCAAATAATTTTGATAAATTGACTCATCAATTTGAATCAAAAATAACCACTAAAAATTATTATTGTTAAATTGATTTATTCGTTTAACATATTCGGATTCTATTCAAAAAAATCGTCTTGATTAAACATTTGAATTAAGCACCTTTTAATGTTACTTTTTGATACGTATTCAATGTTTATTTTTATTGAGTAAACATAACTAACTGTTTTAAAAGTGATGCGATCGATGTAGAGAATAACGGTCCTTTGAATATCTAAATTAAAAACAATTAATTATTTAATTGATGATAAGAAATGACAAGGGAAAATTACCTTTAATTTTCCTTCGCCATCGATTAATGCTGTATTGTTTCCAATCTTAGAGAGTACCAACGAGGAGGGCTTGATACGTAGACTTTCAAAAAAAAAATTTTCAATTCCTTCCATTATATCTGGCGTCATTATATGCATAATTAGCGTTATTTATAATAAAATCAGACAAATACTAAAAAAAATTACTTACGATGTGATTCTGCAGGTTGCTCTTTTGACCTATCATATAAATTTTGAGTTGATTAACCGACTTTTTAGGGAACAATTAGGAAAAAAATTAACTAAGGAACGTTCCTTGTGAAGATAAATT